TCTGTCTTACAATGTGAACTTACATCTCACAGTGTGGTTTTATATTGCTCAATTACGATCTCATTATTGCAACTTTATATCTTGCAGTGTGACTACATTACAGTGTTTTTTTGTTATTGCGACTTTACATTTCACAATGTGACTTTACACCTTGCATTGTGACAACATCTTAATTTCTTGTTATTATGAGTTTATATCTCAAAATTGCGAATTTAATTCTTTTAAATTTTTTCTGTTTGTAATATTTCTTAGTTTGAAAAACTTAACTTAATGATTTATGTCTGTCATTATTGGCACTATTTATCTCACAGTTTTGACTATTTACAATTATTTCTCACTGTTTCCCGAAATTTTACTGTATTTCACATCATGACTTTTTCTCATTTTAAACTCTTTTTTTTTCACAATTACCTTTGTTATTTTTTACTTTGATGCCGAAATGGCATTAATAATCAATAAAAATGTCAAAAAGCCCATTCATATTTTTCAGCTCCTTTACCACATACATTTATGTTGGACTTTTGTATGAGTATTCATCATAAATGGCATCATAAATTTTCTCACAAGTATGCAGGAATGTCCCTCTGTTGCTTCCCCTCGCTCCCCTGGTGTTTAATAGAGGAAGTCAAGAGGAGCCCCTCCTCCCTTGGTTTCCGCTGTTGTGTTGATTGAGTGCGTGAGTTTTTTTTATTATTTTTTTTTAGGGTAACTGTCCCAAAGTGAGCTCCATAAATGACCGCAATGACTGGAAGAAAATGAGGAAAGCCCTGAGCATCATTGGCTTCACTGATGATGAAGTAGAGGTATGACAGACAAACCGACAAATCACAACACACACAGTGAAGAAACAGAAACTTCTCCCTCTTTGTCTGGGCAAACAATTCTTATTTTTGCAATCTGGTGTCAGAAATTACACACTTTACCTTTTAAATTGTGATTGTTCCTCTCATTCACACCCATCCCTTTCTCTCCACAGGAGCTTTTGAACATTATTGCCAGTGTACTACACTTGGGGAATGTTCAGTACGGAGGAGAGGACAGTGGCAGTGCCTACATCACTACAGAGACACAGATTAAATACTTAGCCAGGGTAATAGGACAGTTTATATATATCACTGTGTTTATTAGTCTAAGTGTTTGTGTTTAAACCTCTAACCATGTGTATTGAAATTACATGGCAGGGGTTTGACTGTTTGTGTGTGTATTTGTGATATTGCAGTTGTTAGGTGTGGACGGCACTGTTCTTAAGGAGGCTCTAACACATAAAAAGATCATTGCCAAAGGAGAAGAGGTATGTTTCCAATTTTTTCTAGAGTGAAATATTAGTAACATTTTCTTCCAAAATTAAAAAATATTTAATTAATAATAAAATATGAAGAATCTCAGTTTCAGCGTTGGTGTGTACCAAAGTTGTATGCGTGTACAATATGTAATAAAAATTACTATAAATGTTTCCATAATTCCACTGCCTGTGTTTGTGTTTTAGCTGATGAGTCCTTTAAATCAAGAGCAGGCTGCTTCAGCACGGGATGCCTTATCTAAAGCCATATACGGTCGTACTTTTACTTGGCTGGTCAACAAAATTAATGACTCTCTGGCCTTCAAGGTATGGACTCATTCTGTTGTTAAATACACTATTAGACTCAATGATATGTAGACTCCAAGATATACACTCCATGACTTAGCAAATCCTCCCTTAGAGGCTAGTATCTCAAAGTTAATATTTGGCGCCCCCACATGGAGAAAGCGTGGAAATGGCATGCCATCTGATTGTGTGTTATTGGAACACATTCTCGCCATATGATCTTACAGGCTGTGAATGGCATGCCACAGCTGTTGTTGAATATTTCTGTGCTTTTAATGTCTCTCAGGATGATTCATTCAACAGTAAGAACGCCTCTGTCATTGGTCTACTGGACATCTATGGTTTTGAGGTCTTTCAGAACAACAGGTAGAGTAAATACATAAAATGTAATTACATTTGATATAATATTTATGTTACACAATGTAACAATAATAACAATGTGCACGCAAAGAAAAAAGGCATGGTTTCAGTAACCGCAGTT